GCTGTGCTTTTGATGCGTTTAAATCTGCCTAACAAGAAAAAAAAAAAAACACAAAAAATGCAGCAAAAACATGTGCAAAAATGCATTGCAATGCAGAAACGGGTCAAAACGCAAACTGCATAGGTGTGAACCTAGCCTCAAGGGGCATACAATCTAAAGTTCCTAACTCACATTCTTACATACACTAGGGCCAATTTAAACAGGATCCAATTAACCTACCAGCATGTCTTTGGAGTGTGGGAGGAAACTGGAGTACCCAGAGGAAACCCATGCAGGCACAGGGCGAGCATGCAAACTCCAGGCAGGTGGTGCCATGGTTGGGATTCAAACCAACGACCCTAGTACTGCCAGGCAGAAGTGCTAATGATTTAGTCACTGATATGATCACTATCCTTGAATAAAAGACTTTTTGGCATGATCAGCCATATTTTCAATATAACTGCCAAAGTTTCACAATTTCTGCCAGGGTATGCACACTTTTGAGCAAAACTGTATGTGCCTTTTAGGGGAATATTCATCTGACATTTGTCTGCTGCGATCACACTCTTAAATAAAAGATCCCCATCTTCTATGACAGAAGAAAGTATCGTGCTGTTTCTGTACCTAGGAACCAGAGGGAATTTGATGTCATTTTCTATTTAATGCCTTTGCTATATGCATTCAGATTTTCCTTGGAGAGGCATTTTGATGGGGTAAAGGAAAAAAAAGACATCATAATAAGTATTCTATTTGTAGCAAGTTTCAGTCCGCTGATCTTTGAGGATTGAAGTGGGGGATGAGAGCATATATTGTGATGGTTTTGGGGAATATCAGCAATGTGTATAAATCATATTGTGCTCCTTCCTCATTATCAGATCCACAATACCCTGCGCTAGAACGATCAGCTCTTCGATATCCTCTGCAGAATGCAGTGCAGGTTGTGTGCCATGTGTAAGACCCCAGGGAGATTAAAGAGCTGACCACAACTACTGTAAGTGCTCTTGGGCAAGTACTGTGAAGCTGCAGAATGGAAGATCGGGGACATTGAGACAAGTATTATTTACTTTCTACATATCCATCTCTTCAGAGATCCAGATTGCTGCATGACTTTCCTTAACATACCATTACACTCACAAGTAATATTTCAGCTACAGGAAATGTCTCATGGGACAAGTCACCCCCTGACAACTTACATTTCTTCCAGACTTTAGCAGTGAGATTTCCCAGCTGTGCAGTAAAAAGAAAGAAAAAATTGTAATGGCCATGGGCTTGGAGCTTAGTATTTAGAAACTAAATAAGGGAAAACCTGGCTAGACATTTTTTTTTTGAAAAATCCTTTTCTTTTAATTTAAAAATCCAGAGCAGGGGTGGACAAACTGCAGCCCTCCAGCTGTTGTGGAACTACAAGTCCAATCATGCCTCTACCACTGGGAGCTACGGACAGTCTTCCATCATGCCTATGCTTCTGGGAGTCATGCTTGTAACGGTCAGTCTTCCAGTGCCTTATGGGACATGTAGTTCCACAACAGCTGTAGGGCCACAGTTGCCCACCACTGATCTAGAGAATAACCAGGCATCCCCGTCTCTCTGTAAGCCCTTGCATGGGCAGTGTATTGACAGCTTCAGAGCAGTTAAACTGGAACCTTTACTCATAACTTGGTAAAAAAATACTTGTTCTTTGGTAAGGAACATACAATCACCAGCCACTATATTAGGTACACCTGTTCAATTGTTTGGTAACACAAATTGCTAATCAGCCAATCACATGGCAGTAACTTAAGCATCTAGGAGGTGGTGAAGACGACTTGCGGATATTCAAACTGAGCATCAGAATGGGGAAGAAAGGGGATATTAGTGACTTTGAACATGGCATGGTTGTTGGTGCTAGATGGGCTGATCTGAGTCTACTGGGATTTTCACGCACAACCATCTCTAGGGAAAATCGAGACTCAGACCAGGCAACGTTTTTCCAATCTTCTATTGATCAATTTTGGTAAACCTGTGTTAATTGTAGCCTCTGTTTCCTGTTCTTAGCTGACAGGAGCAGCACCCAGTGTGGTCTTCTGCTGCTGTAGCCCATCTGCTTCATGGTTTGATGTGTGGTGTGTTCAGAGATGGTATTCTGCTTACCTTGGTTGTAACCAGTGGTTGAGTTACTGTTGCCTATCATCTGGAACCAGTCTCTCCATTCTCCTCTGACATAAATAAGGAATTTCCGTCCACACAACTGCCACTCACTGGATTTTTTTTTCTCTTTTTCAGACCATTCTCTGCAAACCCTAAAGATGGTTGTGCGTGAAAATCCCAGTAGATCAGCAGTTTACTTAGCCCGTCTGGCCCCAACAACCATGTCACATTCAAAGTCACTTAAATCCCTTCTTCACCACGTCTAGATACCTAAATGCATTAAGGTGCTGCCATGTGATTGGCTGATTAGCAGTTTGTGTTACCAAGCAATTGAACAGGTGTACCTAATAAAGTGGCAGGTCAGTGTACATTCCACTATAATCATTATGCTAAAGCCCACAGTCCCTGAACAGCAGTAAATCAAAGCAGAACTAAACCCATCAATTTAGCCATTTCAAAAAACAGTTACATTCCTAAAATGCACGGACTGCCAACTATCACATTTGCTTATGAACAAATGATCAAATCAAATGTTTGGTGTTATAACTGATCACAAGTGCAGCACCATGGCAGCTGCATATTAAACAGAAGCAGCTTCCTTGGCTGTAAAGGATAGGAGGGTTTAATCCCACTTTAAAGCCGGCCATACATGGGTCGAATTCCGAAAGAAAATTCTAAGAATTTTCATACTCATTTTGCAGCATTAGTAGGCCACAGCAGCAGCCAATTTTTGAGCGACCATCGAATTCAAGTGATCGGGTATGTTGGAACTTTTTTGAAAAAAAAAAAAAAAAAACAGACAATCGTACGAGAAATGTAATTGAAAAAGAAATGAGCATGAGCTGTGACCTGGAAAGAAAATAATTCTTGGCCACGAAAATGCTTTTCTGTAGCAAGAGGAGGTGAAATTAAAAGGCTTGGTTGGTCAAATTTCGAAATCAATGGTGGCACCATCGGATTTCAAAACTCACAAAATTTCCGATATTCTAAAGAAAATTAATTCGGAATTGAACCCATGTATGGCCTGCATAGGGCCATCAGCAGATTGGCATCTAAAATTCGGCACAGTGCCTAAAAATAGAGAATGTGCAGAGCAGGGTGAGAGTATTACTGGATTTTAAACAGTGTAGGCACTTATACCTGCAAAAGGGGCCGGCCCGAAGTGACCCAGAAGGACTTAAAGTTGTTGAAAAGGCTCAAGGTTTTTTACCCTCATCCATTCTATGCATAAAGGTAAAAAAAAACAGAACAAAAAACACACCTGTGTGCAGCAGTCCCGTAGTCCCCCTAATACTTACCCAAGCTCCATCACAATCCATTTATATGCAAAAGGAACCTCAGCTGTCCTCGGTCTCTGCCTCCTCACTGGCAGAGACATCAGTGGGAACCAATGGCTCCCACTGCTGTCAATCACAGCCAGTAAACCAATGAGTAGCTAGAGGGTGCAGCGTCAAGCCACAGCTCCATGTGTGATTGGACACATGGAGCAGCAGCTCGGGAGCACGCATGCTCATGTGCCCCTATAGTAAGCTGCTTGCTATGGGGGCACCCGACAGAAAGCAGGAGCCAGGGGACCCAAGAAGAGGAGCATCCAGGCTGCTCTGTGCAAAACCACTGCACAGAGCAGGTAAAGATAACATGTTTATTAAAAAAATAAAAAAATAAAAAAAGAAGAAAAAAAAAGGAGAGGAAGGAGGAGGACTGAACCTTTTTTGTCACTTTAATTTTCTGACTAAAGTTCCACTTTAAGTAGTGGATCTTACTATATCTAAGCTTACTGGCCTTGGTACATTTGGTCAAAAGCCAGTTTAGAACTATTGGCAGTGTGGGGATATTCAAGAACAGGAACAAGCCAAAAAGTTGAATATGGAGGAGCATGCGATTCACTCCCCTTTTCATTAGGCAGCACTGGTGCTTGGTGATTGGCTTAGGATTGTCACATGACATTTGGTTATGGAGTCGGAGGTAATAACTGCACTTGTCCATCAACAAGTCCCTCTACCACGGTGGCAAATGGGACTTGTAGGCTATTCATTCACAGATCATAGAAAATTACAAAATTGACAGAAGCCATCCATAGTCATGTAAGGGGGAGGAGGACTTGGCACCATGGTAATAAGGTGGACTAAGCCTATAATCACAGTCTCCTTTCATTGCTCCTGACAGCTGAATGGCAGAGCATTAAAGCAGATCTGCAGCCAGAAAAATAAATACTGCCCCTCTCCACCCCCCCCCCCCCCCCCCTTCCAAATAAATGTGCAAGCTATATTATTTTTTTCAGCTATTTAAATATGATGTTACAGCAGCAGTAAAGTGGCCACCCCTTCCTACCCTCTTTTCTAGAATTGTGTTGTGGTAAGTGTATGGTCCCCAGGTTGGAGAGAAGGAGGCAGCTGAAAGTGTATTACCCATTCAGGTTATGAAGATTTACGATTGCTGCACTGAAGGGAGGAAGACATGCAAGAGGAGATGATACACCCTACTGTACTATATGCAAGTAAAAAGCAAAAAACCCATAACATAAATTAGAGGTTTGTTCTAAAGAGAACCTGTTACTTTGGCCTTCAGAAGTTAAACAGAGATTTCCTTTAAGGCTGGGTTCACATCTATGTGTTTTAATGTGTTTGCAGGTCCATAAAAATGCACTACAATCCATTTAACCTTATTTCCTATGGGTCCTGTTCACATCTATTCAGTTTCCTTGTCAAGCACCTGTGGTAGTGAGTAAATTGCCAACTTGGGGTTCCCCAGGGTGCAGAGTCTAATCCCCAGCCTCATTCCTCACCAGAGCACCTGATGGTGGGGATGGACTTGCAGCAAGCTGGAACCAGGTCACGGCACCCAGGTATGCCCAGCTGAGGATGCAGAGATCAGTCGTGTGCAGAGTACAAACATCAGGAGACAAAAAGGAAATCCAGGAGATAAGCCAAGGTCAGGACAGGCAGCAAGCAAGCACAGAAGATAAACAAAGCCGGGGTCGGTACAAAAGTAGCCAGGCACAGGATGCACAAGTAACAAGTGAATGGGAGCTTAGAGAACTGTGAATTTGCTAAGGCAATGTGGCCTAAATAAGCATGTCTTATATAGGCAAGAAAACTTGGAGGTGGGTCAGAAAGTGATGGAAGGGAAGGAAATAAAAGCCCACAGAATAGCAGGCAACACCAAAGGCGAGCACAGCTAACCACACATGTGAAAGGAATCAGGGTAGGAAAAAAACACTGCATCAAGGAGGTAAGAATACACAAGCAGGAAACTGCAGGCTAACATGACATTCCTGCAAAAGTAAAAAGTAGCAAGTAAACTGCCCGGTAATGCTATTACTAGGCTGCAGCTAGAGGGAGCTCTAATGATCTGTAGTGTGACTTCAGGAGACTATACCAACAAGCTCATATTAAACTCAGAATCAACTGATCAATATGTGTTTTTCGGTCTCCTCTGTAAGTACATCTTAGTCACATTTGGTTCATGCTACCTTTCAGTTTTGTGTTTGTATTCGAGAATTACCATTACTAACATAGGATACTAAACAGCGAAAACCTAGTGTCAGGACAAATTGATGCTCTTTTCCATATGGTCTGTGCTGCCACTATGAAGAAAGTAATTATCTGTATAATGTGATCAATTTCTAATCAATTAAACACAGAATGCAAGTGAGCAACATGGGTTTTCTGTCCCCCGTGCAACACCACATACAGTCCAGTGGTTTTTTTTCCCTGCATCAAAAACACATGGATAGTAGGTTATATGTTTTCCAGTGGCATAGTTCACACCAGTGTGGTCAATTCCAGTGTGTTCCAGAAAAAAAAAAAAAGAAGAAGGAAAGTGGAACACACTTCATTTTTTCTGCACTGAACTGTACTGTAACATGGTAAAACAAATTAAAAAAATGCACCGCAAGGCATGTAAATGCACTGGAACGCACAGGACTTTAAAAAGTTGAAGAAAAAAAAAAAAGGGAGGGGAAAAATGCACCAGATTGCATCTAACACACCGGAACGAATCAAAGCTGTACATACAGAAACACATCCCAACTGTGTTTCAATGGTGTGAACCGGCCCCAAATACAGATACTGTAGGCAGCATCTTTGTCATACCTCACAATCAGATCACTGATAATCCTGTAACACAATGCGTTTTTTGGAAAGGTGCAGGGACTTTATTTTTTTTTTACTACATGAAACACGTTGCATTTTTGGCTCCATACACTTCAATGGAATTGCAGGATATCCTGCATGACAACAGACATCTTCTAGTAATATCTACACTTCCCAAAAATTCCAAATGCATTACAAATGTATCAAAACGTACTGAAAACATACCAACCGTACATGGATAGCTGTGAACCTAGCCATAATACAAAATATGAGTCTTATTTTACAATAAAGTATATGCACTATTGGGCCAGCCCTTCAAATCATTGGATTCAGGTGTTCCAATCTTCTCCATGGCCACAGGTGTATAAAATCTAGCACCTAGGCATGCAGACTGTTTCTACAAACATTTGTGAAAGAATGGGTCACTCTCAGGAGCTCATGAATTCAAGTGTGGTACCGTGATAGGTTGTCACCTGTGCAATAACTCCTAAATATTCCACAGTCAACTGTTAGCAGTTGCTTCCACTTTCTTATAATACCACTAACAGAAGCAACTCAGCCACAAAGTGCTAGGCCATGTAAAAAGGACAGAGCGGTGTCAGCGCATGCTGAAGCGCACAATGCTCAGATGTTGCCAACTGTCTGCAGAGTCAATAGCCAAAGACCTCCAAACTTCATGTGGCCTTCAGATTAGCACAACAGTGCATGGAGAACTTCATGGAATGGGTTTGCATGGCCGAGCAGCTGCATCCAAGCCTTACATCACCAAGTGCAATGCAAAGTGTCGGATGCAGTGGTGTAAAGCACACCGCCACTGGACTCTAGAGCAGTGGAGACGTGTTCTCTGGAATGATGAATCTGGCTTCTCTGTCTGGCAATCCGATGGATGTGTCTGGGTTTGGCAGTTGCCAGGAAAACTGTACTTGCCTGACTGCATTGTGCCAAGTGTGAAGTTTGGTGGAGGGGGGAATATGGTGTGGAGTTGTTTTTCAAGGGTTGGGCTTGGCCCCTTAGTTCCAGTGAAGGGAACTCTTAGAAGGTGTCAGCATACCAAGACATTTTGGATAATTTCATGCTCCCAACTTTGTAGGAACAGTTTGGGGATGGCCCCTTCCTGTTCCAACATGACTGCGCACCATTGCAGAAAGCAAGTCCATAAAGACATGGATGAGAGATTTGGGGTGGAGGAACTTGACTGGCCTGCACAGAGTCCTGACCTCAACCCAACAGAACACTTTTGGAATGAACTAGAGCGGAGACTGCGAGCTAGGCCTTCTTGTCTGACATCAGTTCCTGACTACACAAATGTGCTTCTGGAAAAATTGGCTACAGCTGAGGGCCAATCAGAATAGACTAGGGTAGGACATGCAGTCCTGGAAGATTGGTGGCCCCATTGTTGGCTTCTGGGAGCAGACTACAGCCCCTAGCATGCACTCTGCTGGGAGGAGAAAAAGCCTGCAGCCCAGGAAAAAGCTGAGGGAGGGAATGCTACCGGAGAAAGAAGAAAAAAGAAACAGAAAATAAACAAAAACGCTGCCCAGCAGCACCAGAGAGAGAGACGCACTTTCCAGCACCACTAGAGGACATTAGAGTACCCCCCTATTCCCTCTTGTACTCAGAAATCACACATTCTGCAAAGAAGGCAGCTCCTCCTTCCTCTCTCCAGTCTTGTGATAAGGGAGAATAGAGAGGAAGGACAGCTTGTCTTCATTTCTTAGCAAGTCCTATGCCGAGACTGAGGTGAGCCCTCAGTTTTGGCTCTATTACCCCCTGCAGGCTGGAGGGAGAACGCCTAATCCTCTCTCCATCAATGTTAGGAAGCCACAGTATGGTCGGAATAATGTGCCCAGTTTTCAGGCGGACTGAACACCAGACACATGATTCAAAACTCGGACTCTCAAGGTGAATGACATACAGGTGTCAACCCTACTGCTGGTCAATTCACAAAAGCACAATATGACTTGTGCATGCCCAGTGGGGAGTCGGCTGTGGTGGAATTCACAGCTGGATTCCCAGATGCAAGATGATGGCGCCGGAGACCCTAAGATTAGCAAAGAATTGTCCTGGCTGAGGACAGCACTGTATCCCTGGATTGGTAAATGTTTAATAAAAGTCAGCAGCAGTATTGGTAGCTGCTGACTTTTAATTTTGTTTTGCAGACAGACAGAAGATCCTCCAAGTTGTCTTAAGTTGCCTTCATACATTACTCATGTAAAGGGTGGATTTACTTAAGCAATTCATTTCTATCCAGATTGACCCTAGTAGTTCAGAAATCTAAAGGATATTGCCTATTCAGATTGTAACCTTTAGTTTAACTCCTGGGCATTTAAAAAAAAAAATAACTAAAAAAAAAGGCAAAAACTTTTATTTTAGTTTTGGATAGAATGGAACACCTAATAGTAGTGGTACACCGAAATGAAAATTCTGGACCGAAACTTTAGGATGCATCTAGCCGGAAATCAAAGTGGACAGTTTTAAAATAATAAATAATAATAATAATAATAATTGTAAATTATTATATTAGATTGTTTAATTAAGATTATGAATTTAAATGAATATGAATTAAAACAATTAAATCCAGTAATGTAAAATAACTTATTGAAAAACACAAAAATTGGACAGAAAATAAAGTGTATAAAATTAAAAAAAAAAAAAAAAATTTAAATAGAGAGGTTTTTTTTAGCATTGAAGTCAGTGGGACACGATTTTGCATTGATGTCAGTTTTTTTTTTTTTCTATCGGCAAAAACGCCAAATAACCCTATTTTCGATAATTTTTGGCAGCCGACATATTGGTGCATCACTACCCATTAGGTTTTTGATTGCGGTCTGTGCCCCATTAGGGAGTCACCCTCTATATTTGTACTGTTTTCGATTACCATTGAAAGTTAAAGTAAAAGAAAACCCCATATTTTTGGTTGTTGCCAGAACAAGGGGGGACAGAGGGAAAACCTTCCAATGAGGACACTCATAGTTCTGAAGACCTGGGAGTATCTACAAATTCCCTATGGACCCCTATTCCCAAAGAATTTAAGGATTTCCTATCACTTCCTGTTTGGACAGAAAGTGAAGGTAAATGTCCCCAGTGGGACACACATGGCAAAAAAAAAAAAAAAAAAAAAAAAAAATCTGGTAGGGGTTTGTCCTTTATGCCATAAAAAAAAATAATTAGAAGAAAATTTTTTCTATACATGTGACATAAAAGGCAGTAAAAAAAAAAAAAGAAAAAAAAATGGAAATAATTTTCCCCATACCTACCCACTATGGTCACCATCCAGACTATTCTTTTCAAATCTTCGTCAGGCATTGCAAACACACTTGGAGGATCTGTTATATAAGAGAACAATAAATGCATGTAACAAAAGAAGCTCAAACAGCCACAGTGACATCTGTCAGAAAAGGAACAGAAACCCTCTGGAGACAAAGATTGTAACTATCAATTAAGGCTTTCCAGGGGAAGTCTTGATTCCTTCCATGGGAACCCTATAAAGTAAGAAGGCTGATTTAGCAGCAGTCAAAAATCTATGTTTCTTTGTCATCATGGTTCATGGTTGTAAAGTTCTATATCCATTTTGCTGCACTAAAATACATCTTTAAAGATTTGCTCTCCTGTGGCTGGCAGACCTGTCATACTGCTTTAAAATATGTGGGTTCAATAGCAGCCATACCTTTGATTTAGAACATACCAAGGTTTTATATGGATTTTTAATCTACATTATTGTGAAGGACAATGCTGGAGAGCTGATCTGTACCATCAGCTCTCAAGATATTTTTAGTATGAGAAAGGCAGAAGCACACAGTGACTGACACCAACCTAAGTGCACAATTCCTAGATTATGGGGGGTTCCTCCTTACAATGAATTGGATATTTGTTAAACAGAAGTTTGTCAAAATTATTATTTTTTTTTTTTTTTTTAAGTTGAGGAGTTCCAGGCTCCCCCAAAAAATTTCAAATGACAAAACTACAAGTACTGTAGCTGCTGACTTTCAATATAAGGACACTTAGCTGTCCATGGATCCAGTGACATCCACACCTGGGCTAGTTCTGCACTAGCCTCTGGGTTCTCGACGCCGGCATAGCAAGTAAGGGAAACTGGAACAGCTTCACCTTGTGAATGGCCCCACAGTCTTCTGGGACCTGTGAAGTGTCCCAGAACACTGTGGAGGGAAGGAGAGGGGCTGAACTTCTGGCTCAGTGCACCGCAGCGCACCGAGCTGGAAGAGGGAGCGGGTTCCTGTCAAAACCAGTGTCACATGTGGCAGGGGAAGGGGGGAGCAAACAAGCAGAGCTTCCCCTTATGGGTGGAGCTCCTCTTTAACCGCCTCCCACCCACCACATAAGGAAATGATGGGCTCAAGGTGGTTCTCGTGTTCTGGGAGGAAGTCATATGACGTCCTTCCACTCTAGGCATGCAGCGCAGTGATCAGTGGTGCGCCGTGTCCCTGGGACACAGCAGATCACCGATCAGCAGAAAAAGCAGATGACTTTGGCTCTGTCATGTGATCAGCTGTGTCCAATCACAGCTGATTACATGTAAATAAGGAAAGGCTTATGGACAGTTCTCTCTTCACGAGCTGTTAGCATGACTCAGAGGGGGACATCTACATTGATCATCAGGGCACTGATGATCAGTGCCCTGATTATCAGTGCTCTCCCATCAGTGCCACCTGTCATTGCCCATGAATGCCACCTGCCAGTGCCCATCAATGCCACATGTGCCCATATGAGATGCCTCAGTGCCAACTATCAGTGCCAGTCAGTGCCACCTATGAGTGGCACCAATCAGTGCCACCTATCAGTGCTGTATATGAATACTGCCTTTCAGTGATGTCTGTGAATGCCCATCAGTGCAGCCTATCAGTGCCCATCACTGCAGCCTCAGTGCACATCAGTGAAGGAGAAAAAATTACTCATTTACAAAATTTTATAACAGAGAAAAATCCAAAAATTTTCAGTTTTTGGTTTATTTATCAAAAAATGAAAAATTCATATGGGTAAAATGTTGCACGACTGCGCAATTGTCAAAGTGCGACAGCGCTGAAAGCTGTAAATTGGCCTGGGCAGGAAGGGGGTGAAAGTACCTGGTAGGTAAGTGCCTAAGGACTATAATAACGAAGACCAACTAATTACATTAAAGCAGCATTAAACCCAAAAGCATACATTAATTATAGTGCAGCTTAAAAACTCAATGTGATGGCTGCATTCATTTTCTTTAGGCCCTTTCCTGTTTTCACCTGGTGATCTTGCCAGATAAAGCTCTCCTCCAAATGTAGCAGTTTAGAGAGTGTTGAGACAAACCATTTACCACCGACAGGGGTGCTTACTACAATAAGCTTTTATTTATTCATGTTGAAACTTTATCTCAAAAGAAAAAAAAAAAAAAAAAAAAAAAAAAACTGTTGCTGTAACTGCTTGTGTAAATGCAGTGTGAGCTGGAGTTTGGCTTCAATTTGTTATTGTATCTAAATCTGCTAGCACATCTAACACTCCCCTCCTCCCAGACTGACATTGCTGCTGTGCCCTCTGTGCTCTTTCATCCAGAGTGGAGGCCCTCTAATACAGGAGATGCGTTACTGGCTGGATCACCAGGTGAAAGAGGGAAAGGCCTAAAATAAATTAAAATGAATGCAGCCACCACATCTAATGCTTTGTAAACTACCATGTATTACATTTTTGGTTTGGGTTTAATCCCGCTTCAGGTTTAGTTGAACACCAAAAAAAAAAAAAAAAAAAAAAAAAAAAAAAAAAAAAAAAAAAAAAAAAGCCAGCACAAGGGACAGTACTTACATGTGAAGTGTCCCTCTTGCCTTCGTTTAAATTCATAGTCCTATTACCACCCTCTGAGCTGTAATCGTCTGATGTTGCAGGCAGGGGTTAATATAGTGGCAGGACTATGCCTGCCCATTCTGCCTCTCTCCTCCATTCACAAAAACTGTACTTTTGCTTCCATCAAGGAAAAGCACTCTATGAATAGAGGATGGGAGGATGAATGAAAAGTTTGCTTCCTTCATTAATAGATTTTTTTTTTTTCAATTGATGGATGCTACAGTACAGCTTCTATGAATGGTGGAAGGAGGGAGCAGAAAGGGTGGGCAAAGTCAGCACAATTCATGGGTGCCTATGACAGGTACAGCCAGTCCTAAAACCTCCACAACACTGGAAGATTACAGCTGTGGGGGTATGGGGGAAGGAAGCAGATTTCAGATTTTAACGAAGAGACCAGCCAGCAACACAAGGACCAGATTTAAACAGAAGAAGTACAACCCCTGTGCTGATTTTATTTTTTCCTTTTTAATTTGAACTAAACCTAGACGTTTTCATCCAATATTCTATACACACTTATTACCATTTGCTTGGGATAGGATTCTGTTCATGGCAATCAGAGATTGAGAGTTTCTGCTGTTTACATTAATAATCATAGGATTGCTTTGTTAAGACAAAATTTTATGTTAAAAAAAAAAAAACACCAGTAACCTATATCAGCTAGTTAGAAGTAATCAGTGCTCATCGTCATTGATCTTTGTAATTCGATACTGCATATCCCAACAGTGGTGGAGGTGTTTGGTGATCCAGATTGGGAAATACACAGTATATAGTACGGACTTTCCCCCCTCTGACTGGCACTGTGGCCCTTAAAGTACGCTGACCTTCTGCAGATTTTTACCCATATACCATTAATTGCTTTTAAGTTATTTTGGCTCTGCTGTCTTGGGTTCTTCTTTCACATCACTGATCAATTACTTTTTATCTTTTCCTCCTTGTTCCTTCCCAAATATTAATTTGGATTTTTTTCCCCCCAGGTCTAAAACATGACCAAGCTAAGAGGTTGGCTTCTTATATTCACCATCATACCTGTATGTTCATAGCTGTTGTACAATTCTTTATGAAACATGTTTAATTTCTTATTTTTTCTTTGGGTTTAAATGAAAGGTTCTTTGAATGGTGCCTTGAAGAATGGTAAGCTAAATATGCATTCGAGAGGTAAGAAGAATCAAGATAAAATAGTGTTCTTCTTTAAAGTGATCGTGCATGGCCTCCATACAAAAAGACATCTGGTTTCAACAATGGATTGTCTGCAATTTTAGAAACTACTATCTTAGAATAGTCATCTGATTAGACATACACTATATTGCCAAAAGTATTCTGATTTCTGCCTTTACACACACAACCTTTAATGGCATTCCAGTCTTAGTCTGTAGGGTTCAATATTGAGTTGGCGCACCCTTTGCAGCTATTTCATCTTCAACTCTTCAGGGAAGGTTGTCCAGAAGGGTTAGGAATGTGTCTATGGGAATGTTTGACCATTCTTCCAGAAGCGCATTTGTGAGGTCAGGCACTGATGTCAGACGAGAAGGCCTGGCTCACATTCTCCACTATAATTCATCCCAAAGGTGTTCTATCGGGTTGAGGTCAGGACTCTGGGGTGGAGGAACATGACTGGCCTGAAAAAAGCCAGTCATCCACATCTTTATGGACATTTTGTGCACTGGTGCGCAGTCATGTTTGAACAGAAGGAGCCATCCCCAAACTGTTCCCATAAATTTGGGAGCATGAAATTGTCCAAAATGTCTTGGTATGCTGACGCCTTTAAGAGATCCCTTCACTGCAACTAAGGGGCAAAGCCCAACCCCTGAAAAACAACCCCATGCCATAATCCCCTCTCCACCAAACTTTACCCTTGGCACAATGCAGTCAGGCATGTACCGTTCTCTTGGCAACCGCCAAACCCAGACACATCCATAGGATTGCCAGATAGAGACGCATGATTGGTCACTCCAGAGAACATGTCTCCATTGCTTTAGAGTTCAGTGGCAGCTTGCTTTACACCACTGCATCTGACGTCTTGCATTGTACTTAGTGATGAAGAAGAAACCCATTCCATGAAGCTCTCTACGCACTGTTGTGCTAATCTGAAGGCCACACGAAGTTTGGAGGTATTCAGCTATTGACTCTGCAGACAGTTGGCGACTTCTGCACACTGTGCACTTCAGCATGTGCTGACCCTGCATTTTACGTGGCCTACCACTTAGTGGATGAGTTGCTGTTCCCAGTTGCTTCAACTTTGTTATAATACCACTAACAGTTGATGGTGAAATATTTAGTAGCAAGGAAATTTCATGGATGGACTCATGGATGGACAGGTGGCAGCCTATCACGGTACCACGCTTGAATTCACTGAGCTTCTGAGAGCGACCCATTCTTGCACAAAATGTTTGTAGAAGCAGTCTGCATGCCTAGGTGCTTGATTTTATACACCTGTGGCCATGAAGATGATTGGAACACCTGAATCCAATGATTTGGAGGGGTGTCCCAATACTTTTGATAATATAGTGTATATTTGCCAATGTAAAGGAAGAAAAAAAAATCACACTTTTCAAAATACAGCCAATACTTACCTTCATAAAGCTCATTAAGTCCATGTAAACTCATTGAGAGCTGAGAATAATCCGAGTCTTCCTGAAAGATACCACTATCTGAGCGGGAATGATGGCGAACTACACGTACGCTCTCCTCTTTCCAACCCAGCAAGGGCTGCTGCTCAGTACCCTCTTCTAATGCCTCCGCAAAACATCTACAGCAAGGACTTAACTTCCTCATCATGTACTGACTAATTCGAATATCAAGGCACAACATCGCAATGTAGAGTGCATACACCAAAAGCAATGAAGCAGATTCATACCTGCAACACAAAGAAAATATGCTTAAAGCCCAAGTTTTGCTAAAATCAAACACAAGCAGCATAAGGAACATAACTTACAGTTAGTATGGTATGTCCTTTGTGCTGATTGCTGTTCTTCGTGAACGGAGAAATCTTCCTCCATGTCGCCTACCTTTGCATCAGCACCCCTTTCCCCATTAACATCAGTAATGTTTTCATACAGGTTCCTTGTAAGTCTCTCCTGCTCGGTGGAAAGCCTTCTCCAGGACATGTGACTACCAAGCCCAGCTTGTGATCAGTTCATTATGGGAATCCGTAAAATTAAAAACTTTGCTATGGAAGTAGTGGGGAATAAAAGGGTAGGACACCTGTTCTGCATTACAAGTCTTGAGGCTCTACTACCGGGTCAGAGGAATTTACTGGCCAGTATTGTGTTGCTATTTTTTTGTTTTTGTTTACGGACACAACTTATTTACACAATTTACTATCACACTATATATTCATTTCAGTAGTAGGCTAGGGATAGGGCAAATGAAAGTTATATTGCAGTTATTGAAAATGGTGCCTACGATTCCTGTAATGTGAAATCTGGTAAAGAGATCCCTTTAATCCTTATGCTGATTCACTACCTGCATTTTAACAGCTTTGGCCTCTACTATATACATCTAGTAAGTTTCCATGGTTATAGTTTGGAAAAACCAGTGGTATTGGAGAAGCAGCAGTTCTGAATTGCATGCAGTCAATCCTCCTAATCAACAGTCAATCATCGGTCACACATTGTAATGTATAGTTCATAGGCCAATGGTCACTTTAAGGATGACCTGCTTCTAAAACAGGAAAGTTCAATATTTTACCCAATAAAGGTTTGTCTACTTTCTTTTACGGACTTTGTAGAAAATCATTTACGGAGTCCTTTTTTTTTTTTTTATGCGAATCTGAATTTGGGTGAGCAGATGTGTACATTCTAAGAGCAAAGCCGTTATGTAGAGTTCTTTAATTTGCTGCCAGTGTGTAATGAGGTCATACAGATGGACATCTTGCAAATAAAACAAAAAAAAAAAACCCTTCTATTAAAATGTTTCTTACCAATAAATTTTGTTGTCAAAAGTTATTCCAATTACTGCTCCTACACTGACTGCATATGCCACACAGTCTCGAAATAAGGGCCAACAAGACAGCCTTGCTATCTGTAGGAAACAAAAAAGGAAAGCAACATTCAAATACAGTCTACTCAGTCTGCTGAGCAAACACGGTACTATATGCCCCAAGTGCTACCAAAATTCTTTACTTGTTCACCATATTTGTAGACATGTAAATCAAGCTGGCTATCTAGCAGCCCTGCAAAAGGTAGAATAAAGAAATATGAATGCTAACTTCAATGCTTGCCTGGCACTGTTAGACATTATATGGTAAATATGAGACATGAATGTATGAAATCTATTAAAAAACCCCACAACAATATGGGACTTTACTGGTACAGTATAGGACGAACACCTATTTAGAAAAATACAAATTTTATTAAGTAATACATAAAAGTTATATTTTAAAAACAGTACATGGGTAAACAGCACTGATATAACATACATTTTCTCTGTGGCTTTATGTCCTCCAAAAGGTCGACACCTTTTGCATTTTCAGCTTCTTCAGGACCATGGAGCTTGGAGACAGAATCAATTACCTAAATATCGCCAACAGGGATACAGGGCACTAGCAATCAAAAGGAAGCCAGCAGAGTAGTTATAGGTGGGCACCCATCTTTATTGTTAATCATTATATCCAAGATATAGTATTTTGATCAAAACTGGTCTGCCTACACTTGAACGAATCCACAGGGAGTACATAAAATATGTTCCGTATGACAATTCATATTGTTATCTGATATTCCAAACAAAGTGACAAATCAAATTACTGCCCTCAGTGGTTATAGAGATCATATAGATCCAAGTCTTGAAATACTTTCATCCTCATACAAGGTAAATACTCATTCAACTTCCAATCACCCCCAAGAAAATATTCCATTTGTTTGGAATATCCGATAACAATATGAACGGTCGTATGGAACATATAATTCTGTATACTCCCTGTGGAATCGTTCAAGTGTAGGCAGTCCAGTTTTGATCAAGATACTATATCATCTTGGATATCATGATTAAAGTGTTACTAAACCCACAGCAGCAAACTCAGTCTGTATATACAGTAAAGCATGCTTGTTATACTCACTGTGGAACCTAAAGGGTCAATACTCCAGATTGTGTAAAAAGGCAGTTTGATTCAGTTTTCTCTGCCCCTCCGCTTGTTCAAATGTCCACGTCTTATCTCCCGATAAGACAGACTGAACCCATAGTTACATGCACATGCTCAGTTTAGTGTGTATTTCTAGAGAAGTTTTTTGTTTTCTTGGGAGAGTGCATGTGATCAGCACTGTGCAGGCAGAGGGTCAGGGGTTTTGCATCCTCTTAGAGCAGAAAGCAAACTCCTCCTACAAGCTTTAACCAGTGCTCTGGTTAACACTGATAGAAGCCACAAATATGTTCTAACTTCTGATAAAAAGGTATTTAGCAGTTTATATTTACTAAAATAGTTGCACTTCCATGTTGTGTACTGTAGGACACCAGATATATGAATGCAGGGTTCTGGGTTTAGTAACACTTTACCAATAAAGATGGATGCCCACCTATTGCTACTCTGCTGACTTCCTTTGCATGCTAGTGCCCTGTATACCTGTTGGTGGGGATATTTAGGTAATTGGTTCTCTGTCTCCAAGCTCCATGGTCCTGAAGAAGCTGAAAATGTGAAATGAGTCAACCTTTTGGAGGACATCATGCCATAGAGAACATTGATGTTATATCAGGGCTGTTTGGCCATGTATGTTTTTTAAAATATAAACATTTAATTTTTTTTTTTAATTTGTATTTTATAAATATCAGTTTGTCCTACACTGCACCAGTAAAGTTCCATAGTATTTTTGTGTTTTTTATCGATTTGTTAATTAGGGATGAGGTACAATGCAGTCTAAAATATAATATATACACGAATGTATGAATCAATCTAAAGCTTTGACCACAGCAGGGCAATGCAGGACTGACCTGGAAAACCACATACAAATTTAAGCTGGAGCCTAAAGGCCAAGTTCACTCTTTACAAAACAAATATTCAATGCACCTCTTTTTGTAGGTAAAAAAAAAATAAACTAAAAATAGGGCATTTATTATTTGTATATTGCATACTTTGCAGTATTTGTACATTGCATACTTTGCAGTATGTGCAGCAGATCATGGGTGCAATGCCAGGATCCTGCAGACTCTCAGTACACTGTGTACTTGTTCCTCGTACGGGCAGGCAGTTACTGAATGGCAGGAAGAATCAATGATCTATGATAGCATTCACTAGCATCCTCGCAGTTCATTGAGAACTACAAGGAGTCAAGCAGATTTTTGATTCAGTTCACAGAACTCTAAATGAATGACGCAGCAGTATGGGCGGAGCCCAAAAAATTTGACAGTTTTTATGTGGAAAATAGGCCTGGTACCATACCGCAGTTGATAATAAACAACAAGCAGCACTTATCCCAAGGAGGTTGTATACAGCCGATCCAACAATAGTGCTGATTCCAATGTCCCCTTTGGTGACAAACACACCTGCAATACAAGATGGAGTGAACGTTTATATGGAAGAAAACCTGGAAATTCTAGTAAAGATCAGGTCTAAACAGTTTTAAAGGATGTATTCTAGGTATGGATATTTTTAAAATAGCTACAAAAAGGTCCAGCTTGAACCAAGGTAACTGAATATATATTATACCTGGCCAATACCTCGGGAACAAGTAGAGATCATTGTGGTAGAGGTGTCTACTTCAGGGATTTCCAGCTTCCAAAGTCCTGTGCCGAGTGGCTGCTCCACTGTATTTTGAACACAGGAAGTTGCGAACTCAGCAGGGGCACCATTCAGAGATAGCTTTGCATTTTCTCACTGAATGCAAATGGTTATCCAATTGGAAGCAGGGTAGGAATGTCATGATCTCCATCTCATCCAAGCAGAGAATGCTTTACAATCATTGGAAAATGCACATCTATCGCTGAATGGCACCCATATTGAGAGGGCAAGCTCCTGTGTTCACAGTGCAGCAGGGCAGCAGCTCGATACAAGACCCGGATAGCACCCTAGTAGCGGTGTCTACTTCAGTCACTTCCATGGGGATCGGCCACGTATGACATATACATAGTTACAGCGGTCCAAGCTGGACCAATTCAACTATGTAAAAATATCTATAATTCATCTTTAAAAGACATGGTTGAACTTAAAGTGTGTGTAAACCAACAATACATTTCTCTTATTTGCTGCTTTTTGGTCTATTAACATATAACTAAAGGCAAAATGTTTTGTTAGTTTTGGATAGAGAGGTATTAGAACATCTCAGGTTTTTAAATGTTATCTTCATCTTATTTGTTTGCCATTATCATCAAAAGTAAAAAACCTCGAATTTTGGGTTCTCCCCAGAAAAAGTAATAGAGGGAACATTTTACAATTGGCACACTAGTTGTGTTGACTTGGGGTTACCAGGAAATTCTCTCAATTTGCAAGGATTTTCTCTCACTTCCTGTTTGGCTATAGGACAGTAGAGAAGTGAAAGTAAATCTACCCAATGGGACACAGATGGCAAAAAAACAAAAAAAACCCCCAAACTGATATGGGTTGTAACTCTCCCTAATTCGATCCAAAAAAAAAAAAAACAAACAAAAAAACCCCCCCCACGTTTTGGCTATAGTGCTACTTTAACCGCCTCCCGCCCTCCATATAAGGAAATGGACGGGCGGCGGTTTTCTCATTCTGGGAGGACGTCATATGAGGTCCTCTCACTCCAATTGCTCATGGGTGCCCCCATGGGCGCACGGCAGTGCGCTGTGTCCCTGGGACACAGTGGATCACTTATCACTGAGCCAATGACGTCAGCTCTGTCATGTGATCAGCTGTGTCCAATCACAGCGGATTGCATGTAAACAAGGAAATGCTGGTTAACGGCAGTCCTCTCCTCACGCTGACAGCGCATGAGAAGAATAGAGCTGGTAAGCAGCATTCCTCAGAGGGGACATCTACACTGATCATCAGGGCCATGATGAGCAGTGTAGCCCCATCAATGTCACCTGTCAGTGCCCATCAATGCCATATACCAATGCCTACCAGTGCACATCAATGCCACATATCAGTACCCATTGCCTTTCAGTGCAGCCTATCAGTGCCACCTACCAGTGCCTCCTCATCAGTGCAGCCTATCAGTGCCCATCACTGCAGCCTCATTAGCACACATCAGTGAAGGAGAGAAATTACTTATTTACAAAATTTTATAAACAGAAACTAAATAACAAAAAAACAAAGGCAAGTGGTTAAATATACCATTGAACGTAGTATTTTATTGCATCATCCAGCTAGAAGTCTTTTGAAATAATAACTTCCTGTACGCTCTGCCTCTGGACTATTATCAGTTAGCATTGTTCCATGCTATCTCCTTGGACTACAAAGTACCTCACCCTGTTGTAGAGAAGAGAGGGAGGTGTTCTGTTGTCCAAACACAGGGCTCTGTAGTCATAACACTACCAGCCCTAGGGGGACAATGCTGCTCAGTTAAATTATCACCCTCTGACAGGAAGAGAGCTAATGGCAGGATTACAAGGTTAAAATAAAAGGAAAAAAAAAACTAATTTGGAAAAAAACTAATGCAGCCATCACATCCAAGGACTGGTAAGCTGCAATACTAGAAATTTTTGTTCTTGGGTTTAGATGAGCATTAACTCTCCGTTACACAGTTCTAAACATTTTTAACAGATAGCAGCAGTGTGGCGACCATGCCCACAATGTTTACTCAGTAATGCAAAACTACCTCAGCACTTAGACCTGTTAGGCACTATTTGCACGGGTATTTTGCCACGTTGCTGCCATCAGTCTGTCATTGAACTGTATGGGCTTGGCGGCCATTGCTATTCGTGTGCAGCCATAATTTCCAGCAGCAGAAATCAATTTCTGGCGATTTGGGATGCAGCGTGGCAAAATGCCTGTGCATATATTTGATATTTCAGTAAAAACCGTTTCTCTGTGCCATCATTTTGCTAAATATATGTGTAGCACTACTTCCATAAGAGCTGTAGGAATACTGTCCATGTTTCCCCCCAATCTTTGCCCCGCAGCCAGGCACATAGGCTCAGTCACACATTTTTTCAATGACCAGTCTAGGATGTTGTTTTTGTGGTTTTTATTTTTGGAGAACTTGGATAGGGTGAGGGGAATTAGGTGGTTTACTCCAAAAACAAGAACTATGTACAACTTGAGGACTTACATATACTTCAGAACAAGCTGTATTAAAGTAGGTGCTTGTAGCAAACAGACTTCAACTTTAAGGTATAAGTAGTAGCAATAATAGTTAACCATAAATCTCTTAGAGCCATAAGAGCAGAGACTTTAAGTAGAAGATTATATGGATGAAACTCTTCAGGACACCAGCCATTGTCCCATTTAACTAGAACCACAGCTGACTAGCACCAAAAGCACAAAAGGTCCCCATCATCCCCAAGATCTCTTAGAAGCATCTGTACTCACACAAGGCCAAGGACAGCTGGTTGCGACCCCTTAATCTGGTGGAATCAGACCAGGCCATCAGACCAGACCTTCAGCAGACAGCCACCTCCGTCAGCTCTCTTTAGTTCCAAGGACTCAGAATCCGAGCCCTCAGGTTGCCCACCTGAGGCCTCACAACAGCTGACATAACAGCATTGCCTGGAAGGGCAGCATGTCCTCTCCAAGCTAGACTAATCCTATCCAGGAAAAGACCCAGAAAGCTCAGTGTGCTCACCAAATATATACACTCTCCTAGCATGCCACAAGAGCCTGTCTCCCTGGGATAGGCCAGGGCTGTTTCAATATTCATGCTGCCATCTGTATAGCTCCACACCCATCATCCAGAAACTTCTCAAGCCCTCTGGATGCAGAGCTATCAGACTGGCAGGAGCTCAACACACTAAGCAGACCTGACTAGCAGAATACAATTTCACCGAGTACAGTGAGCAAGTTATGCTTTTACCTCACAATCACAGCCAGACTACAGTATGGCAACCTTAATTTACCTATCTAGGAGGGTACTACATCTGCAAGGGTCACAAGCCATCCTCAAGGCAGTATGGTACCTACTCATCTATAGGAGTCGCTTCTACACTAAAACATAGTACAACAAATATACACTCACCAGCCACTTTATTATTAGGTACACATTGCTAGTACCGGGTTGGACCCCCTTTTGCCTTCAAAACTGCCTTAATTCTTCGTGGCATAGATTCAACAAGGTATTGGAAATATTCCTCAGATTTTGGTCCATATTGACACGAGTTATTGTTGCTTTTCTATCATCTCAAACCAGTCTACCTGTTCTCCTGACATCAATAATGCATTTTCATCCACACAACTGGTGCTCACTGAATATTTTCTCTTTTTGGGACCATTCTCTGTAAACCCTTGAGATGGTTGTGTGAAAATCCCAGTAGATAAGCAGTTTAGAAATACTTTGCCCAGCCCATCTGGCACTAACAATCATGCCAAGTGCAAAGACACTTAAATCCCCTTTCTTCCTTAGCTCAGTTTGAACTTCAGCAAGTCATCTTCACCACGTCTATATGTCCAAATGCATGAAGCTTCTGCCATGTGATTGGCTGATTAGCAATTTGTGCTACCAAGCAATTGAACAGGTGTACCTAATAAAATGGCCAGTGAGCATAAATTCAGAGCAGATCTGGAGGTTACCCACTGCTCACTAAAGGTGTAACAAGATGCAAGGATGACACTTTCCTAAGGCAACAGCAACCCCATAATGTTTATGTACGTTACACAGGAAAAAGAAGCAAAATTAGCAATTAGTCAATTTGTCAACTAGGAAGGTGTAACACTTTAGAATGGACAGAATTCATACTGGCATCTGAAAGAGGGCTTGCCCTGATTCATCACATGGATGCTTGTGCTATCTAGAGGATCTTTCCTTAAATGGTTTTTTAATGTTACATGTGTTTTTGGCAAGCGCTTTTGTGAGCATAATACGCTTTTTCAACAATGTTTTTATTGAAGCCGTCACACAATGCCGGTGTGCTTTCCATCTGTTCTATAGTGTTGTGCAAAGATTTCCCAGTCTGGAGACAGCTGCGAGGCCATGGATATTATTGCCAATTTAATGGAACACTCAAATGAACTTTGGAGGGAAGTACTTGAATAGCAGGATTGTATCCTTTCATCACTTGAATGCTAACAATTTGTATTTATTTGTAATTAATGAAGGTGTAGTTAAAGTGATTCTAAATGTTAAAAAAAAAAATAAAATAAATAATATGAACATTTTATACTTACCTGCTCTGTGCAATGGTTTAGCACAGAGCAGCCCTGATCCTCCTCTTCTCAAGTCCTCCACCAGCATTACTCCCCCCCCCCTGCTCCACTTAAGCTGCTTGCTATGGGGGCCCTTGTGTGTGGGCTTGCTCATGAGCCACCTCTGTGTGGCCATAAAATCCACCCCCTGCTCCCACCTAACTGGTCAATGGCTTTTTGTGCTGTCTCTAGGCCAATGAGAAGTGAGAGAGCTGAGAGGGAGTCAGGCGAGTATAAGGGGGGGGGGGGGGGGTGCTGATAGGGAATGCATGGAGGTAAAAATCCTTCTTACATTACAACCATTTTAATTGTAAACACCCACTTTAGCAGAAGGATTTAGGGCACAAAACACAAGGCTGTTTGATTCGTGCATTAAATACTGGTGCAAAGGCTTCCTACAGGAAAAAGGAGTGCTCATCCAGGGAGTAGAGCGAAAAGTCCCTGCTGAACTGGCTGAATTTAAATCCATGTGTGCCCAGCTTAAAATTTGTGCATAGATGAGTTTTTTTTTTTTTTCAATCAGCTATTGGGCTGATTGGAAAAACTGAACGGATTCACCCATCCACACAAGCAAGGTGGATGGAGAAATCCTTCCCACTTCACTCAAAAAGGACTGTTGGCATATTTTCGTTCAATCATCGTCTGCAGCCAATCCTGCTGTTTGAATGCAATAGTGAAGTTTGTCATTAGATTGACTCCTCATGAACTGGAACAGCCATGGATGGATCAAATTTGGCTGGTCCCTGCTGAACCAGCCAAATCTCAATCCTTCTATAGCCAGCTTAATAAACTCTGGTTTATTCACTGCTCTGCTCAGGAGGAAGAGCTTTTAAGGGATTGTTACAGAATTAAAGGGATACGTACAAGGAGCAAGCAGGATCTGATGTCCCAATGTATTATTTTTTAGTAATTATACTGTTTAACAGTAGCTTGATTAAGAAGAGGTTACTGTAGTCAGTGGCTGAATACATTTCGGCAGATATTAGTGCAAAACTGCTCTGGAAGGTAGCAGATGGCTTCAATAGCTATACAAAGACTACACGACAAAAAGTGCACTCAGCCAAACCCTAAAGTGGACAACTGGTACCCCCCCGTGGGTACATAATGGTGTGATATTGCTGCAGCGGGCTAACTGGATTTATATCAGTACTAGGATACAACTCATCACCCCTAACATAGCTTGCTATAATATTGTAAAATATATATTGAGCTCTTAGAAACAAAAAATAGGTTTGCAGGTTTCAGAATAAGTCCTTAAAAAGAGTTTTCAATACTTTTCCCCCCCAATGCTGGTTCTTTTGTAAGAACCACCCCCCCAACTCACTGATACTCACCTTCACAGCACTCCCCTACCATTCCATGCATCTGTTGGAGCCCTTAGTAACAAGTGGGTTCTTCCGGGTACGGAGGAGCATGTGCTCTTTTCCCAGGATGAGTGGCCAGTTGCTAGACCCAAACACTAACATGAAGAGGAAACAGAAGGCAGAAAAAAAGGGAAGACCAAAGTAGTCCATCAAGTTTGCCCCATTTTTTTTATATTTACACATGCTTTTTGTCTTTTTTTTTTACCTTTTTTGTCTGAATGTGGATCTAGGTTTGTCCCAAGCATGTTTGAATCCACTTACATTTGAAGGGTGTAGACTGTGTAAGTTCCGGCAGGAAGCTTAAAAGGGTTAGGAAGGAGTAGTGGGAAAGCACAAAGGATGTGAATATCAGTGTTTGGGTAACTAATTAAAGTAACAGGCTGGATTTACACTTCTATGTTGAAATAATACATGCCTTATCACAACACGAGGTAACGTGTGCTTATGTCTTTCCTCATGATCCCAAGGCACGAAGGCAGCACGCCTGTGTTGTAGTGCACCATACATACAACACAGTAGAACATTTCACCTGCAGTTTGGATTTAATGTCTATTCTAACATCCATTTTAAGAAACAAAATTACCTAGAAATGCAGTGACGAATTCTGGTGCAGAGCTTCCCACGGCCATGAAAGTAGCTCCAGCCACATCCTGGGAGAGGCCAAGGCCTTACATGTGACACAAGGACAAAATCAGAGAGTCAGTGTTCAGAAGAATAGCTGTACAGTTAGCATTTGCTTGAAAATGCTTACAACACTTAAGCTGCATGCTCCATTGTACATAAATAACACTGCAGTTGTAGAATGCAGCCGTGAAATCCATTATTATATTTTTAAAATAACTTTGTCTAAAGTTGGTCATGGATTGAAAATTTGCCAAATGATGATCCATGTGTGGCTGCTGACAACAGTCAATCCTAAAAGGAGTTTGTTGGAAAAATGTTCTTGACCAGCTGGCTGCAGTCACTGATCAGAGTAGTCTAACAGTGGAGAAGTCCCTCTTGCAAAGTAAAATTTCCCAGCAGAGAGGATGATTTCTTCATTCACCATTGTGAATTTGTGTGGATGGAGGAATTTTTTTTTTTTTAATCATTTTTATCCTTTTTTAGGCTCCCCCCCCCATTATTTTCACCTACTGAACCTGCCAGTAGTCTATTTTTCCCTAAACTTCCTATAAACAGACCAAACTGTCCAGACAAAGTAGCAATTAAAGGGTTGAGACAAACCCATTAACACTGCAGGGGTGCTTAAAATGGTCAGCTTTTAATAATTTAGTGCAGCGGTATTCTCTTGAGGTCCGCTGTGATTCTAGGTCCCCCTAAACTCTGTACAGCCAGGTAACAAGCATTTCCCATACTCACATCCACAGTCAGTGAACAGTCCATGAGCTTGTTTTTTTGTTATTCTATTAGGGGAAATAACTTGGATAGGTTAAGAGGGATTATGGGATGCCCAAACTTGACTGAATCCTAGCCAGGCCCTCCAGACCTAGGGGACCTTCCCCCCAGGCCACCGACAGCCTCCTCAGCACTCCATCTTCCACCCAAATCCCCTGCTAGGCCGACTGTCCCATATTTATGGGTTGGCCTCACCACTCTACCAGGGCCTCCAAACTTGGGATTGGCTAGACTCCCATAAACATGCAGATTAGGTCTCCACCTCTTTCACTCACTGGCCTCTGGAATTTTCCATGGTCTTCTAGAATCTAGAAGCAGGTGGAGGCGATAGAGTCCCAACCTGTTAAGCAATCCAGCCTGACCTGAAGGAACCTGACCTAATCACAGACTCAGTTACCATGAGTCATACACAATAAAATTTACCTACACTAACCCTAGTTAGCTAAAACCTTCATCCCAAAGAAAAAAGAAAAACGGTTTGTTGGAACTGCTTATAAAAGTGTCCAAAAGTGTCTCCAATGCGCCTCCATCCAGAATGCAGACACCCCAAGACAGGAAGTGTGTTACTGGATGATATACCAGGTGGGATAAAAAAGGGAAGGAAAAAAAAAAGAAAAAAAAAAGGAAGAATTAATGCAGCCAACAAATCTAAGAATTTGTAAGCTCCAATCTATTGCATTTTTGTTTTTGGGTTTATTACCGCTTTAATGTTACTCAGTACCCAACAATAATATTGAATTCATGTCTTCTATTCAGTAAAAAAAAAATGCAGCAAAAATGAAAGTCTCCAGATGTGTTTTACACTGCAGTGTGGTTCAATGGCACTTGTACTTACGTTCACTGATGATTTCTAGGGAAGGGATGAAGTATCCATCACAAACGATGGACACAGCCAGAAACATGTATAGTATGACTAGGAAATGAATGACAATCCCACCATCTTTTCTCTCCTGTTCTGTGAATAATCCTTTGGGAAACTCAGAGGATGGTGAAACAATGCAGAGTGTATCATTTTCTGAAAGAGATAAACATGGCTCAGACAAGACTCACTCCCAGATAAATCACATTCTCTTACTTGGTTTTTACTCGTAAAGGCCAAGTTTAGCTAGAATTGATATTTTAATAATGGATGGATACTGGGGTAATCAAATCACCCATTGACTTTTTATATCACTTGGGAATGTCAACTATGAGATCCACATCTGACATTTTAGCTGTGTTCCGTTCAATATTTCAATGAGTAACCAAGAAAAAAAAAAAAAAAAAAAAAAAAAAAAAAAAAAAGGAAGAATCTCTCCTACTGCTACATTCTTCACAACAGGGGTGTAAAGAGGAATCATGGGGGCTCATAGCAAACTCTTTATGGGGCCCCATTTAACGCTCTCTGTAGCACCTGACAGTGTCAACTGAAGCAAAATGTGTCATTGATCTTTTTCAAAGTATGCCTGAACCATGCCTTAAATTGATGTGAAGCAACACGACAGCTGTCAGTATAGCCAGACTACTACAGACCATAGCTTTGGATAAAAGCTTTAATAATAAAAAAACATAACCACCATATTGATTCTGTGAGAATATGTAAAAATTATTCATGTTCATGTGTACAATTACTCTAACGCGAATACAAAATTGTTTTTGTAGCGCTACATACCTGTCCTTTAAAGTTTAAATAGGGGAGAAACTCTGGGATTACTGCATTAGGTATACAGGGTTAAGTTGGCCATATCTGGCTATAATTTTGGCTGATTCCTACTGAATTGTTCAAAATTCAAGCTGTAGGTGGTCCTGTCATCACCAACCTGCTGAACAAATAAAAAAAAAAAAAAAACTGGAAGAGCTTTGCCAAACAGTCAAGATCACCAGATGAAAAGCCAGGAAATATGCCTGAGAAGAGAAAACTAATATCACCACCACATCTAAGGACTGTTAATCTGCAGTATTTAGATTTTTTTTCTTGGATTTGAATAAGCTGTAAAAAAGATAAGTTTATTTTTTTTTGTTAAAAGAAAAAAAGGTGAACTAAATATCCCGGCCACCCCTCTGGACTCCGCTGCACAGATTTTAATTTACTTATTTATTACAGGTATGTATATAGCACTGACAATTTATGCAGAACTTTACATATAGTACATTCATATCAGTTCCTAACCCTCAAGGAGCTTCCAGTCTAAGGTCCCTAACTCACATGCCTACATACACTATATTGCCAAAAGTATTGGGACACCCTTCCAAATCATTGGTTTCTGGTGTTCCAACCACCTCCATGGCCACAGGTGTATAAAATCTAGCACCTAGGCATGCAGACTGCTTCTACAAACATTTGGGAACTCAGTGAATTTAAACGTGGTACAGGGATAGGTTGCCTCCTGTGCAATAAGTCCATCCATGAAATTTCCTTGCTACTAAATATTCCACGGTCAACTGATAGTGGTATTATAAGAGAGGGGAAGCAACTGGGAACAACAGCGATGAAGTAGTAGGCCACATAAAATGAAAGAGCCGGGTCAGTGCATGCTGAATTGCACAGGGCGCTGAAGTTGCCAACTGTCTGCAGTGTCAATAACTAAATACCTCCAAACTTCAGGTGGCCTTCAGATTACCACAGCAGTGCATAGAGAGCTTCATGGAATGGAAGCTGCATCCAAGCCTTACATAGCCATGTGCAATGCAAAGGGTCGGTGCAGAGGTGTAAAGCACACCGCCACTGAACTCTACAGCAGTGGGGATGTGTTCTCTGGAGTGAAGAATCACACTTCCCTGTCTGGCAATCCAATGGACGTGTCTGGGTTTGGCAGCTGCCGGGAGAACAGTACTTGCCTGACTGCATTGTGCCAAGTGTAAAGTTTGGTGGAGGGGTGTGGGGTTGTTTTCAGGGGTTGGGCTTGGCCCCTTAGTTCCAGTGAAGGGAACTCTTAATACATCAGCATACCAAGACATTTCAGGCAATTTCATGCTCCCAACATTGTGGGAACAGTTTGGGGATGGCCCCTTCTTGTTCCAACATGACTGTGCATCAATGCACAAAGCAAGGTCCATAAAATCATGAATGAGGGAGTTTGGTGTGGAGGAACTTGATTGGCCTGCACATCCTGACTTCAACCCGATAAAACACCTTTTGGGATGAATTAGAGTGGAGATTGAGCCAGGCCTTCTTGTCCGACATCAGTGCCTGACCTCACAAATGCTCTTCTGGAAGAAGAGTTAAACATTCCCATACACTTCTAAATCTTGTGGACAGCCTTCCCAGAAGAGTTGGAGCTGTTATAGCTGCAAAGGGTGGGCCAACTCAATATTGAACCCTACAGACTAAGACTGGGATGCCAATAAAGTCATGTGTGTGTAAAGGCAGGCACCCCAAAGCTTTTGGAAATATAGTGAATACATACTAGGACCAATTTAGACAGGCGCTAATTAACCTATCAGCATGTCTTAGAAGTGTAGGAGGACACGGTAGCCACGCTGGCACAGAGAGAACTTGCAAACTCCAGGCAGGTAGTGCCATGATTGAGATTCAAACTGATGACCCTAGTGCTGCCAGTTGGAATTGCTAACCACTGAGTGACCATGATGCCCCGTGCTGTAGCAGTCCGTACACTACAACACACAGCCACAGAGTGAGTCTCCATCATAATACTTGCAAAAGCAAGTGATCATTGGTCAGTACACCTGCATGACATGCTGACCAATGAGAAGTGCATCTGAGGCTTCTTCTTTGGTTAAGGTGTCCCAGAAGAAAGAAGCACTTCTCATCTGTTAGCATGGGCACACTGATCAATGAGCATTTGCTTTTGCCAGAGTTATTTAGGATACTCATTCTGGACTGTAGATTGAAGTGTATGAACTGCTACATTTGCAGAATGGGGCATCAGAACAATGGACAATTTTAAATCACACAAAAACATTAAATATATAAAATGAAAAACATTAAAGTGGTTGTAAAGGGCTCAAAGTTTTTTACCTTCATGCATTCTATGCATGAAGGTAAAAAACTTGTCTGCAGCAGTGTCCCCAGCCCCCTCAATACTTACCTGAGCCCCATCGAGATCCAGCGATGTGCTTGAAAGCCTCGGCCGTCCCGGGTTTCTGCCCCTTCATTGGCTGAAACAGCAAGTGGGAGCCATTGGCTCCTGCTGCTGTCAACCACAGCCAGTCAGCCAATGAGGAAAGAGGGGGACACTTTTTAATCAGAGTATAGCATCAAGTCAACTGAGCTCCTGGGATATTGATCTGGTCAGTTAAGTAACAGAGGGGGTTGTTAATCCGTTTCAGCTGCTTTGGCGTTAATGAAATTAACAACAGGTGTACTAGGTGGACAACAATGAAACAACCCCCAAACCAGGAATGGTCTTATAGGTGGAGGCCACTGACATTTTTTCCCCTACTGATCTTTTCTGACTGTTTTTCACTAGTTTTGCATTTAGCTAGGGTCAGTGTCACTACTGGTAGCATGAGGTGATACCTGGACCATACGGAGGTTGCACAGGCAGTCCAACTCCTCCAGGATGGCACCTCAATACGTGCCATTGCCAGAAGGTTTGCTGTATCTCCCAGCACAGTCAAGAGCATGGAGGAGATTCTAGAAGACAGGCAGTTACTCTAGGAGAGCTGGAGAGGGCCATAGAAGGTCCTTAACCCATCAGCAGGACCGGTATCTGCTCCTTTGTGCAATGAGGAACAAGATGAGCACTGCCAGAGCCCTACAAAATGACCTCCAGCAGGCCATCGGCCATCGGAGAGAATGTCTCAGACTAAATAAACAACCAGAAACAGACTTCATGAGGGTTGATTGGCATTTGCTAAAAAACCAGAATTGGCAGGTCCGCCACTGTGCTTTTCACAGATGAGAGCAGGTTCACCTGAGCACATGTGACAGACGTGAAAGGGGTGTGGAAAAGCCACAAAGAACGTTATGCTGCCTGTAACATCGTTCAGCAAGGCCATTTTGGTGGTAGGTCAATGATGGCCTGGGGAGGCATATCCATGGAGAGAAGTACAGACCTCTAGAGGCTAGACACTGGCACCCTGACTGCCATTAGGTATCGGGATTAAATTCTTGGACCCATTGTCAGACCCTATGCTGGTGCAGTGGGTCCTGGATTCCTCCTGGTGCACGACAATGCCCGGCCTAATGGGGCTAAAGTATGCAGGTAGTTCCTGGAGGAAGAAGGAATTGATACCACTGAATGGCCCCCACGCTCACCTGATCTAAATCCAATAGAACACTTCTGGGATATCATGTTTCGGTCCATCCGACACCACCAGGTTGCACCTCAGACTGTCAGGAGCTCAGTGATGCTTTGGTACAGATCTGGGAGAAAATACCCCAGGACACCGTCCGTCGTCTCATTAGGAGCATGCCCCGACGTTGTCAGGCATGCATACAAGCATGTGAAGGCCAAACAAACTAATAGTACCATTTTGAGTTACTGCAATGAAATTTCAGTAAAATGGACTAGCCTACTGCATCATTTTTTCACTTTGATTTTCAGGGTGTCTTTGAATTCAGTCCTCTGTATGTTGATATTTGTTTCCATCAAATGATGAGGCATCCTTATGTTCCTAACACATTACCCAGTTTAATATCAGTATAGATGTTCAGCATATTTTTCACCATTGAGATCTGATGTGTTTTCAAAGTGTTACTTTAATTTTTTTGAGCAGTGTATAAAACTCACATTTTACAGTGAGTTTTACAGTGCCTGCAATACTGGCACCAAAAAAAAAAAAAAAAAAAAAAAAGGGTCAAAGTCCACTGGCGAGTGTATATTCCTTATGAACAAGTGGTGAAGAAGTTGGGAGACTGGTATCATCTGGCATCCTCTTACAGGACCCTTATCACAGTGTAGTGTTGGGATATGCACTTTAATGGACATTAATATTGTTTTTTTAATTCATTTATTAAGTTAATGTTTTTGTACGCCAATTTAGTGCCCATCTTTATATGGTTCAAAATTGTTTATTGGTGTATTTACACTTAAACTGGCTGCTACACAATTGGTATTGATTTGCAAAT